AGCCATCATCCTGACTGCAGGGAGGGTTTAAATATCCTCCCAGGAAGCACCAGGTGATGGCTAAGTACTGGCAGCTGGGAAGCACCCGCAGGTGAGCTCTGGAGCTGCAGGGAGTACAGAGGTCAGGGTGTGACGCAGAGTACAGAGGTCAGGGTGTGACGCAGAGTACAGAGGTCAGGGTGTGACGCAGAGTATAGAGGTCAGGGTGTGACGTAGAGTGCAGAGGTCAGGGTGTGACAGAGGTCAGGGTGTGACGCACAGTACAGAGCTCAGAACACAAAACAGAGGTCAGCGGTCATTATGTAACGCAGTGCAGAAGTCACAAAGAAAGTACAGGGACTTACAGTTGCTTTGACCTCTTCTGCTCCTGGTGATGGTGGGGGGAGCAGTGAGGTTTTCTACACGTCCAGCCGGCTCCAGGTACTCTCTCTCCCACGCAGCAGAAGCCCGCCAACTGCAGTTCGGCAGTCTTCCACTCCCACCAATGGCAGCTGAGGTGGGCGGAGGATACTGCTGTGGCCGCCAAGGAGCCCAATCGAAGCGGGCACAGACGATGGCAGTCGAGCTTCTTGTTCTCTTCTCCCCGCCGCCGCCGCCACCACCACAGTCTTAAAGTCAGAGCAGTCTTAAAGAGGCCCCCCTCCCAGTCCACATCTTTCGGACGTTATTAACCTGAGTTGCCCCACTCAGCATGCCCATCGCTTGCGGGCATATTGAGTGGGGCACTCAGATTAATAACATTCTGGATTAGTCTGGCCGGGGGGCAGGGTGGCAATTGCCCCCGGACCTCTCTGATACCTTTGCAAATGCCCCCCGCAACCACTTAATCTCTCCCCTCTCGGCCGCTCTGCTGCTGCAGCGGCCGAGAGAGGATAGATGTAGCACATCATCACAATTATGACAAATCACGACTTGAACTATCTTGCTTTGCATGTAATGAGTCTCTCTCATATATTAGTTTCACCTTTTAAGTTGCATTAGTGAAATAAATGAACTTTTGCACTATATTCTAATTATTTGAGTTTCACCTGTATATCCTCCCATGATCCTAAAGAGAACTATGGCAGAAGACGGTTACCCCATAGTTCTCTTTTAACTACCTTGAAAATAAATTATATGTTTTCAGTGTGGGCCATAATAAAGAAAATATAAATAAAATCATTATACAGTTCCTTTTCTGTAGGTTAATGTAAACAAATATGTAGTTACCATGGCTAGTACAGACACTTGTATAAATGAGGTAGGTGCACTGTCTTCTGTAGTAGTAGTACTAGCAGGGGATAAACACTTGCGGTCATCTTGACATAAGATAACATAAGTCATTGCGGTCATCTTGACATGTTCTTTGTACAAATCCTATCTCATTGACATTGCCTTCTGCAACGTTTTATGGTATAAAACTAGACAGTGTCATAAAAATACTTACAGATATCTTGGCTAACACATTTAACAGTGCAAGTAATGACACACAGCCAAATGAATGTTTACATTTTCCTTATTACATTCTTCCTTTAGTATATATCTTACAATTGCTGTTTGCTTAGTATTGAATAATGCTTTCAATGTAGAACTGGGTACTTGAATCTCTTTATATTAGTTTCCTGCAATCTTCTGCGCAGTAGGATATTGACTGGGAGAGGGATGGCCAGCGCTGTGAGCCAATCTGGATCTACTGCATTTCACAGCAAAATCAATCTAAACCTGGGAGCTTTTAAAAAATGGAGAGAGCTGTTCCTTCATTATTAAATAAGCAGGCAGCGTTGCTTAAGAGCCTGTTCACACAAGTGCGGTGACTTACGCTGTGCCACACCAGAGCAACGCAGGTCATTGCTAGGACACATAGAAAATAATTGTGTTCTAGGTGTCCCATTCACACTGCAACACAGTGTAGTGAAAGGAGTGTACACATTAAACACTCCACATAAAAAAAAAAACTAAACAGCAACAGCTCCAGAAGTGTGCGATACAACGCACACTACCAGATAGGTCACAACGCACTAGCCCATTTCATTGCAGCATTTCAGTGCAAAGGGTAGTGTGAACGGGTCCTAACTGTGCAGGAGAAAACTTGTCACCAATCTGGCAATAAGGTTGGGATGAAAAAAAAAAAAAAAAAATCAGCAAGCAAAAAAATTGGAAAGGACAGTTTATTTTCTTTACAAAGACAATGAAGGGGATTTATCAAAACTGGAGCAGAGAAAATCTGGCGCAGCTGTGCATGGCAACCAATCATCTTCTCTCTTTCATTTTCAAATCTTAAAGGAGAACTATGGGGGTAAGTGTTTTTCCCCATACTTCTCCTAAGGGTCACAGGAAGACACAAACTAGCGTTGTCCCGTGACCCTAAGCTCCGTATACCACGAGCTACAGCTTGCGGTATACTGAGGCGCCGCAGCCGTCCCTGCAGGGAGCTGTGAGTGACAGTCACGACTCTCTGCAGGGATAGATTGAGTGTGTTCGCTCACTTCATGGTCTACTGAGCCGACCTGTGACAGTCTCATTGTCACAGGTCGGCTCACATTATGAGGCTGCGTGAAAATCACTCGCCTCATAATTCTAACTGGTCAAACTTAAGAGAGAAGCTGATTGGTTTCCCTGGGTAACTGCTCCAGATTGTCTCTGCTCCAGTTTGATAAATTCCCCCCAGTGTCTTTCTAATAAATCACCTCTCCTGCCACCCATTTCTCCAATCTTGATCTCTTACAGAGCTATGCCCCAAACAGAATCTTCACATCTGCCACTGTTGGGTGCCTGCATTTCCACCATGGGCTGCGGTTCTATTAGCCAGCTCCACATCAAACTGTGTCCTGCAGCGACGTAGAAGACGGCATCCAATACACTTGGAAGTGTATCCAATGTAAAGATTATGCAGGCCCTAGCTCTGCAAGAGAGAAAACATCAAAGAACAGGCAAGTTTTAGGTCTCTTTTTTGGAGGTTTTTTAAAAACAGTGAGAAGGGAATTTATTAAAACTGGAGCCGTCAAAATCTGGAACAGCTGTGCATGGCAACCAATCAGCCTCTCTCTTTCATTTTCAAAGCTGATGGTTGCCATGCACAGCTGTTCCAGATTTTGTCTGCTCCAGTTTTGATAAATTTGCCTCTGAGTCATTTAATGACACAAATTTGCTTATTCATTCCAATAATTACATCTCATGAAAAAAGAACAGTTCAGTAATTCACGAATAATACAAGTAATTTAGAAAAGGCTAACATCCATGGTAACCAAACATAATGAAGCTCATCAGAACATCCTTTAATGACACTATAGATAGGATTTTGAAGAGTAAATGCTGTATTTATGATGCATTTCCATTCAGTGAACAAACACAATAGTAAACATCATGAACCTCAGAACCTGTAACTGCAAAACAACATATTGCAAAGACAACGTCTAGTATCTGTATCTGTGAGTGAGGAACAAACAAACACCGTGTGTTCCTGTGTGTCTGAAAAAAGTGATGCATGAACGTGACGTGGCTGGTAAAATGCACAATTTTGCCTAAACATTGACACGTATCAAGCACACACAAATGCATAATGGTCTATG